GCACGAGAGGATGGACGTATCACAGCATCATGATCGTTGGCCGAACGATACCTTTCCATTTCGTCAAGGAGGTATGGTTTTGCGTCCCTGATCCTCGAGATACACACTCTTTCGCTCTGGTGGAAAAGATCTACGATGAAAGGTTGGAGAAAGAGCTGGTGTTGGACTACAATGCATCACCGTTGCTTCCTGAGTTCGAGAGATACCGAACGCCAAGCAAGATCATGGAATTGCTTTGCGAGATGCCTCCTGGACCCCACGACACAAGCAAGGAGCAGATCATTCGAGACCTCACGACTGTCCTGGAGTCCCACAGGGAGAACACGGTTCGGCATCACTACATGGACAAAGGAATCAAGTTTGTCATCAAGAATTGGCGACCCGAAGACCTACGCAGAGACGAGGATGGACGGAGAATGAGGGTATGCCCGGCATGCTACAACATCGTTCCAGCATGTTTCTCCCGATGCACGTCTTGCTGGTCACAGTTCATTTCGAGCGGATATTACCAAGGTTCTCCACAACGGGAGACTCCTACGGAGATCCCCAGTGACTTCATTGCTCAGACAATGGAAGCCGCAGCAGCCGCAGTGCCTGAGGCGCCCGAAGAGGAGCAGGAAGCCATGGAGGTAGAGACCGTTGCGGAACCTGAAGAAATCCCAGAACCATCTGTCATCGCGGAGGACGATCCAGAACAGGAACCTGATGAAGAAATGGACATAGAGCCTGGAGAGGACTTTGATGACGCAGTGCCAGAAGCAATTGCACAGGAACGTCGTCCCGTCTTCGTTACCGGCCAGTCTTTGAACATCGATCCTGAGCTACAACTTGCACGTACCGCCATGCAGCCATCCTACTATTCTGGAAAGCGAAATGCCCATTGCATTGACGCGAACATGACCGCTCTTTCGTACATGGCATACGTGGTATGCAGATCCATCTACAAGGCTTGGTCAGGATTCGCAAAGTGGGCGACTATGCCGTTGTTTCAGATGAGGGAAAGTTTCGCACTTGGCCAACGCTATGATGTGCTTGGAAAGTGGGGATCTTTGGCGGCAGTGGATAGGGAAACGGGTGTGAGCAAGGACGTGACTGATGAGGAGATCATTCGCTTTGCCAAGGAACCTGAGAACCTCAAACAGTATGATCCCAACGGGACTTACACCTTGAAGCGCTTCCGGACGAACCAGATGCTTTCTTTACTTACACGGGGAGCCAACATGATGGGAATTGGCAGGGACAACTTCAACCCTACTACTTACTTGAAGAGCGAAAGGGATGAAGATGTGAAGGCTATGCACTTTTGTTGCCTGAACGTCCTGTGCGAGGTGATTCCAATGGTGACGGGACACCAACAATTCTCAGTGCTACGACCAACGCCAACTGGACCAGTGGACTTCTTGTACATCGACCCCGTCGGTATTCTGCTGACTCATTCTGATCAGTCAGTCCAGACCATCGGCTTGCTGGTGGACCACAGTGTGCAAATGCCTGCGCATTTCATGGACAGATTGAACAGATCCAAGGCTGAGAGACAGCAAAACCCGACGACCAAGCGTACGGAAGCCCTACACCACATTTCGGCCGCTGACTATCTTCCTCCAGGTGGTACATCCATCCTGGACACGCCTGTCACTACGGAGGAACGTGAAAGCGCTTCTTCATCCAAGGGACCTTCAAAAGGGCGTGGAAGAACCGGAGGTGAGCAACATGGTGGCTGGAACACCAATTCCTACCACGACTACATCGCCAGCAAAGGCCGAAACAAAGGCAAGGACAAAGGAAAGCAGAGGAACCAGTATCCAGAGGAGAACCTCCGGCCCTGGGAACGCGATCCTACGTCAACGCGAAGATGGTGGCGAGACAACGCCTGATCTTCCTCGCCTATCAGTTCGTGACCTCTGAGCTTCGCCCATGGAATGCCATCGCGAATGCTTCTTTCTTCGGTGACGCCTGATTCGTTTGTCATTTCAGGGGATCGTTACTGACGTAGATGAGTGTCACAACGTTTCTAATTGGGATGCAAAGCTCTGATTTTCAATGTCAACGTTGCGGCGGAACATTTTCTGTTGTCCTATCGTGCCATCTTCCGGGTGAGCAGCGTCGGAGACGCAACTCATGGGGGGTGCGAACGGACTGCGATGCCTTGTCAAGTTCTAAGGTGTCACTATAAGAGCTGTGAGCAAGACCGTGTAAAGTGCAAGAGAAGGGGGCACGCTACGCGTCCCTCGACTCTAGGGGGCATGCTACGCATCCCTCATCTTTACCTTTCTATGTGACCGCCAACGCAACGTTTGGCTCAAGGCTCAAGTCAATGCCCATAGCTAAGTGCTATATGTGTCTTCTATTCTGAGCAATCAGAGCTATCCCGTTGCACAGACGAACCGCCGCCGGCAGTGAGTGCAAAAGGAACGGCCGCCGGTTCTGCCTGCATAGGATCGCACGTGTGGAAGTAAGAGGGAGAGACAGGGTCCAGTCTGTGGAGAGTGCTAGCCAGCCACACCTACATTCATTACAGCTCTGGTGGGGAGAGCAGCAACCAAGTCGAGATCAATCCCCCACGCAGTACTAGTACTAGTACTAGTACTAGTACTAGTAGTACTAGTAGTTCTGGTTATACTAGTACTAGTACTGGTACTAGGTTCAGCGTCGTACTACTAGTACTAGTAGTACTGGTAGTACTAGTAGTACTGGTAGTAGGAGTAGGAGTAGGAGTAGCAGTAGCAATAGCAGTACCAGCAGCAGTAGCAGTAGGAGTGACAGTAGAGGTAGCAGTAGGTAGCAGTAGCAGTAGGAGCGGTGCTACGTGGCAGCGGTCCAAGAGGGTAATCGCTGCGGAACAAGACTAGGAGTGGACGGCAGCAGCAACAGTAGTGGCTACTGCAAACTGTAGAGACGCGGTCAATAGTTATTGTCACTGTGGCACATCAGCAGTTCCGCCGTTTCCTACCATCGCCAACTCATCCTAAATATGGATGCTTACGCATGTCTAGTATACGTACACTGCATACATATATTTTAACTGTATGTTTTTGTCTATACATATATATATATATATGTATATATGTATATGTATATATATATATATATATATATGTCCCCTATGTATATATATATATATATATGTTTGTACAGACATACACATGCACACGGAGACATCCTTACATCAAGATATGTCGGGTGTCGCATTCCTCAACAACTACAAATACCACCACGACCACGAAGCCAGGTTTGCTGGTGCCAGTGTTCTGACTGATTCATCAACGTCACGCTCTGGAGCTGCTATGTGTTTAGTATTTACACCCCATGACCAACGGACTCTAGCTGAGTTGCGTGTGATGCATTTCTTAGCTGTCATTGTGATCGTACTCTTGTCATTGGAAAGCCAGCCTATGGCTCGGCGGGTGCAGGGCTGAATGCTGTGTCGTGCTGCACGGTCACTGTTTTTTCTTGGCAAGACTTGCCTTGTCTTGGCAAGACCCACCTCAAGGATCAAATATGAGCCCTCGACGGTTTATGTCTCATATCGCCGAATGTAGAGTTAGACTTACAAAGTATGGGGACCCATACTTCTTGAGGGTCATTTGGTCCTGCAGGTTCAAGCGCAGTTGCACAGACAATTTTCAACAGCTTCGAAGTGACTCAGTAGCGTCGAAGGGGCATAGGTGTCGACATCCACGAGCCAGTCAGAGGTGTTGCTTATCGAATAAGGGTGGGGGGGGGGGTGGGGGTACTATTTCGGGTTTTAGTGGGGATCAAATATTGCTGAGATGCTAGTGGTAGCAGAAGCAGCAGCAGTTTTCATCATCAGGACCATCATCCTCCAGGAAACACTTTGAAGCATGTCTCAACACATGCTTACCAAGATCGGTTCATCGGCAGGAAGAAAAATGGCTGCAGCATGAGTGAAACCGGCAGGCCGTAAACATTGTAGATGTTTAATACCCCAACCCCCATAAATCCAAACCCTAAGCGAGACCGTGGCTTAAGGCTACAGGCTGTCATTACGCGTTACGACGATGTAGTTCTCCGGGAGTACGTTAGGGGTACCCTTATTTGGGGTCCTTATAAGAAGGATCCGACTATTTAGGGTACTATACTAGGGTCAACTATTTTGGGAAACTCCCAGGTGGCTCTCCGGGAGGACCGCAGGGGATGGGAGCTCAACAATCCGAAACGATCGTTCCACAATATACTTCCGCAAGCCCGAACCTTTAACTTACAGACCTCTTAGCCTAATAAAGGGGGCCTACATAATCAATTGCGCACCTATGCTATTTTGGGGGGTTCCTTAGTATAATTATGGTATCATGGTCCCCCAAACCCGATTCCCTATGTTAAGCCCCGAAGCCAGCACCAAGATCTTTAGTCCACGATTCCACAGGGGCGCCTATGCAGCCACCCTTCGTCCCGGGCGGCCAATTCCCAGGCCTGGCCTCAGTGAAAGCACGCTCCGGGTCTATGGTTTGTAATGGCAGTGTTTAGCTGTCCGAGTTGCGAGAGTGTAATAGCATTGTTTAGGTTTCATACACCGTTTGAGGTGTAGCTTATATAAGCTGTTTCCCACAACAGGCCTTAGGGTTTACAATGCAAAGTTAACGGCTTAGGCTCGAGGGGCTTAAGGTCACAGGGGCCAGTGAGGGTTTTCTCTCACAGTGCTACGAATGCCGCTGCTCCACGCCACACTACATCAGGAAGCAAGGCGCTGTGGGACGATATGTGAATCAAGACTCATGTCCCGCATAAGGCACATCCTTTGAATTGCCATGGGGTTCTGATGCTAGCGATTCAGGTGCATGCGAGGTTTAGCATAGGCTTGCTCAAAGATCGCAGATCACACAGGCACCCATCGTCCATCGTCCAGTGTTTGGTGGTGTTTGGGTTTAAGTTCAGGAGATCGAAAACTAGATGAGGGTCCTGGATTTAGACCCTAAGGTTGTGAATTTGGACGTGGAGAAACAGGTTGTTCGAATGCCCTGCAGCGACAGATCCATCCGCAGGTGCGGGTGGAGCTTTGGGTGGCTATGGTGGAGCAGCTTCGAACTCAGTTCATGTCAGTGGCCATGGGTTCGATGTATGGTGCAGGAATCTCTGGGCTTCGGTTGCAAAGGTTAGTTGTCATGTGGCGGCCACTTGAATACCCGGGTACCGCCCCCTCGACCGAAACTGGGTCCGGGGCTTTGGGGAGGACTTGGGTGGAGGGTCTGCGGTTCTGCGCGAATGCCGGGGTCGGAGGGTTGGGGATCACCAAAAGCTCGGAACCAAGCCCCGATCACACCAAGATAACTACCAACGCTAAATACCCTTCATTTTCAGAACCTTTGCCTCCAACCTACACCTGCCTCCACAATCGACCAAGTCTGAGGCCTGGTACTGTACAGTAGTACAGCAGTAGTACAGTAGTATTTTAGTACAATAGTAGTACAGTAGTAGTACCGTAGCACTACAGTAATCGAACCGCGGGGTTCCCCAGGGTTTTAGGGTTTGGACGGGGGTTTAGGTCGGGTCGTGGGTGCCATAAGATTGACCATTAGCAGAAAGGAAGCAACACAACAACAAAATCGCCTGCCAAAAAAAGCGCAATAAAGAGGACACCCAATTTTTTGGCACCGGCTTGAATAAGCCCGGTCAGTGGCGCATTAAAGACGCCCACTCACTTAAAGGGGCCCTCACATCAGGATTGGGGGTATCCGGATGTATCAAGGATCTATAGGTTTGCGTCTCAGCCCCACCTGCTCGGCTACAACCTTTTGACTCCTGAAAATCACTTGCGACTCTTGCTAGAAGCGACATGTTCCCTGGATCATCCCTCTTATGGCGCTTTCGTATCAGAGTGGTGTATTCATTTGGTGCTTGACAGAAGGGGCGCCCATATTCATTAAGAGCTATGAACAATAGAACAGATCCCAGATCCGGGAGGCCTTTACAGGTATAGGTGTGCTTCACGAATTAGAAAAGGATTCCGTGAAGGGGCGACTCTAAGAATTCAGAGATGATGAAGGCTCTGAGTTTTGTAGCCCATAAGGGCCATGGAGACCAGATGCCATGAAAGGGCGCACAGGGCCTGGGCATGGGGGTTGCTTAGGTCTGGGCTTTCGTGTTACATTGCTTCCGGCTGCAGGGCTTGCAAATTGTGGTTCAAGGCTCAAGGGGTTCAGGGTCTGCGCTTGTGAACCCTAATCTTACCTTTGGTTAGTAGGGAATGGAAGATTGGTAGTAATAGTAGTTGTAATTGTACCCCATTCTTCCATTCCCTACTAACAAAAGGTAAGTAATCGCTGAACCCTGTAACCCATGCTGTACCTGACATCCTCAACTGGAGTGGGACACAGTTTGACAGCCCCTGGGCCCCAAGCCCCAACCTGGGACTGGGGCTTTTTTGGGTTGAAGCGGGTTTTAGGGGGTTTAAGTATGAAGCTACCGGAAGCAGCACGAAGAATGCATGAGGTGTCAGGGGTTCAACAGCCACTCCATGCAACTAATTTGAATTTTGGGAGGACAATCTAGAAGCTTTTCAAGTGATGTATTCGAGCTTAAGTCCAACCCCCAATTTGGTTAGCCGAAAGCAACGGTACAAGCCTGGGAGAATGAACCCCTTTGAGGCCAGCAGCACAAGCGGTCCCAAAGGCATGGTTGGGAGTACATAAAAGGTGTGTGTGTGTGTGTGTATATATATATATATATATACTTATTTATTTATTTATTTATGGGGGGTGCCGGGGGTGCTACAGTTTGGAGGTTGAGCATTTTGCACTCCGATTGTTTATGCTAGGGTCCATGCTGGCTATCAGCCGTGATTCTGCTTTGCGAGTCCTAGGTTATTCGTAAATCTACACGTGCGAGTGTAAGGCAAGTAAGGGACCATCAGTAGTAATTAGGCGTTCTGAAAAGAGGTTCCCACCAAAAAGGGTGTTCTTTTCTTCGGTGGCAGGCCACGTCAGGGGTCTATGTTCACAAATCCTGGCTCCCTCCGGTCCGGAGATTGCTTTACAGCAGGTCATTTGGAAGATGTGCTTCGTGCTTTCCATTGCCAGCATGACGTTTCGGCTTCCGCTATCAAAACCCGGCTGTTGCGGGGACGACGGACGTTTGGCTCAGCTTTCCAAGCATGTGTACCCTAGGTCCTGAACTTGAAAGCTCCATAGCGTAAAGCAGTGTAACGATGCATGCAGTGAAAGTTGCAAGACTTGAACGGCCCCGTCTGAGTGTCCAGCCAGCTACCCTAAGACCCTAAACCCTGAAACCTAAACCGACTCGGCCCATGTTTTCGCAGCCCCAAAGTCCAGAATCCTCTGAGATCCGATAAATCGTCTTCCTAGGGATGCCTTTGTATCAAAGAGCTGATGAAAGACCGCGTGAATAGTGAGTAGTAGTCGTCGTCGTAGTAGTAGTAGTAGTAGTCGTAGTCTTAGCGGTTGTCTTTACATAGCTGTCGTTTACTATGCCCCAAAGCCGCAGTGTAAATTTAAAAGACCCTGTATTCAAGACTGATAGCAACCCTCAGCGCAATCCTGGTAGAACCCTTGAAAGGAGCCCTCTGCGAACCCTCATCGCAGTCCTTATAGATCCCTTAAGGAGCCCTCTACCAAACACTAAGGCCCTATAATATCGAGGCCTCAATAATTGCTTATACTATTTTGGGGCTTTCTTTATATATAACTTTAGTATAACAGGCCCCAAAACCCCTACAGTAGAAGCCCAAAAGTTGGAAACCCCAGAGCCTCCATCCTTAAGAGTAATGTATAGGGAATCCCAGCACTATTTGGCCTTAATCCAGTTTCCAACTTCATGGGGTGTACTGTAATTATGAAGGCCCCATAAAGTCCGGGCTATTTTTGGGCTTTCCTTATATATAACTATAGTATAACGGGCCCCAAAACCCGTAATTATGAATGCCCCATAAAGTGAACCCTGAAGCGGGCACCCGGAGGATTCGTGGAGCGAATTTCCAAGGGCGATGTCCTTCCCGGACCGGAGGCCCTTCGGCGTTTCTGAATGGGTAGTATGAGGTCTGTGGAGTTTGCAAGACTCTTCCCTGGGGATCCTTATTAATGAGAAACAAGAGGTGTGCTATTTTTAAAATTCCTCTAAAATTCCGTTTGTTGGGGCTCAGAGTTGGGGGAGGGAGGTGTTGGTGTGAGGATACTCTGGGTCTGGAGTTAGCAGTTAGCAGGACCTTAGGGGCTGATGCTTTCTGATGCCGTGTTTGCGATTTCGTTGCGGGCCTTCGGAGTGTATAGGATGTGGAATTCAGCTCTTGAGCCCTCAACCTAATATGATTAAATATGAAGTTTTGAAATGTATAAAATTACTACAACTCCGAAAGCCTTCAACATATAAACACTAGCGATTTCGGGTGAATTATAGGGAGCAGGGTTTCGGTTTCATTGATGTTCTGGTGCATCCGGATGTTCAGGATTGTGTGCTCTTGGACATACCACATGTGGCCAGGGAGGTGTGGCATCGACATTCGGCGGTAGTTACTTGGAGTGCTTACCCTTCGGAGTGGAGTACTGTGGGGTTGCGGTTTTCGGGCCTCGGCTGTAGAGCAAAGGAAGAGGAAGCGCTGGCGGTCATCAAGTCCGGTTTCGAAAAGGGTGGTGAGTTTTGGTTAAAGGGTCAGGATTTGTAATTGAGGTGGAATCTGGATTCAGGATGGAGTTCCTAGGCTTTGCAGTGGCCCAGCATCTAATAGTGATTTTGTCGGCTCAATCCCATCATAGTAGTATATATGGACCTTCTCGGTCATTTTACCTTAGAACAACCTCCACGCCTGGCAGCTTACCTTTAGGATGGGTTGTTGTGCTTGCTGCGGGCCTTCATATTGAATTCATGTTTCGGAGTAGGTTTCGTACAATGATACTGGGGGCCATGATGATGTCCCATAATCATTCCGACACCTATCTTAGAGCCTAGACCTTCTGCCAATCCGCAGCAAATCTTCCGGAGGCTGCAGATCGCCTTGCATCTCAATGTGCCTCCGCCCAGGCCCGGTTTAGGGGTATGCGTAGTCCAGGTCGTCTTCTTCCTGTCCTCGGGTCCGCGCGACAATTTTCGGGCCTAAATTCTGGGCCTCAGCACCGGCCTAATAGTAGTAATAATAGTAATAATAGTAATACTAACCCATCATGGCAAAGCCTTCAATCCGACACCTTGGCCAAGCCTGACCTCGTGACGCCTCGGACCATGGAGCTGGGTCGAGCTAGAAAAATGGGAGTTTCCGAAAATAGGGGCACCATATTTTGGGGTCCTTAAAATAAGGACCCTACCATGTTAGGGTCCCCTATTTTCGGAAACTCCTAGAAAAATAAGTGCCCTGGGCTTCCAGAACGCCGAAACCAATAATGTAGGCCTCTGGTTGAAAAATTAAAAAACCATCCTTCCCTGTATGTATTGGGAATTGCTGAATATTAGGGCCGTTGGACGTATGCTGTAGGATTGGGATTAGAGCGGGACGATGTTGCAGAAGCCTAGGTCTGGGGACAGCGGCGACAGGGGGGGAGAGTAGATCCGCAACTGAAGTCATCCCGGACGCCCACCAGCTCACTGCGTCCTTTTTGCAGATTTTACTTCGATTTAGAGCAGCCGAAAACCCAAAGGTGTCGGGATCACAACTGTCGGAGATGCTTTGCGACAGAGCGGCAGCCTCGACAGTCCCATTTTGGTGCCCCAGATTTCCGACGTTTTCTGTGTTTGCGGGTTGCGCAGGGTTGGGACTCAGTGGGCCCGGGGTTGAATGCAGTTTGGGGTCCAAATGAGGGTTAGGGGTTAGGGTCAACAGGATGGTGGGGTTGAAGGTGTGGCTGGACTTGAGCCCACTGGTAAGGACAAGAGGGTTTAGGGTTCAGGGTGTGTGGAAGTGCCCAAGCCACCAAGTCCGGGCTGCAGCAGTAGAGTTTGTAGCAACTTCGTCGGCAACTACTTATAAATCCTGAGCGCTGCACATGTACATACATATACATACATATATATATATATATATATATATATATATCTCTCTCTCTCTCTCTGCAAAAGCGGTGTTGTTGGAGATGCCTTGATGAGGGTTCATGGTCAAGACGTCCCCTCCCTCTCTAGGAGTCTGGGTTTTCTTAGCGCGCGCTGCGCTGGATTTGGGCGCACGTCGAGAGCCGGGCTTCATGTTTGTGGCTTAAGATAGGGTTTATAAGTTAAGGGCGTGCGATTTTTGAGAGTTTAGGTCAAGCGGCAGCGGCTCTGCAAAGCATGATTGGATGAACAACCCCCCATATGTTTGGTGGCTTAGTACTCAGCCCTGGCCCTCGCCGCATCAATGAAGTCACAGTAAGACCAAATCTGCTGTGTGCCATATCGAACTTCAGGGTATATGATAAATTGAAGTCAGTGCACCGAAACCCTAAACCCTAAACCCTAAACCCTAAACCCTAAACCCTAAACCCTAAACCCTAAACCCCTAAACCCTAAACCGATGTAGCTAAGGTCCGACGTCTGTACTTGGGCCTCGACGGCGGGGCGTCAGCGGACCAGGGGCTCCTTCGGCTCCTCCAGCTCCTTGTGCTGCGACTAGCCAAGGGGGATCTTGAGGAACTGTAGGGCTGTAGGGTTATACTTTAGGATAAAGGGTTGCTTTCTGATTTCAGGGTATTATAGGGATATGTATATATAGATATAGATAGACAGATAGATAGATGGGGTTGGGCCTTTCAGCGAAAAGGTTTTCAGCATGAGGCATGTCCATCTCTCCGGTGTTTAGAAGTATATGTTGATGAAATAGGCTCTCTGAGGGTTTTTTAAGCGGTCTACCAGGGCGATAAAAGTAGTTGTTTGCTTTCTACGGTGTAGGAGTACGGGTGGTTTTTAGGGTATCCACAGGATGTGGAAGGATTCTATAGGGTCGCACGGTGTATTTTAGGCGCTACGCAGGCTTGTGGAGGGTGTTCTTGTCTTTTCCGGGTTTGATAATCTTATCTAAAAGTTGTGGAACGGGTTTCTTTGGATCTAGGCTTGAGGCTTTTCGGTTTGATTTTCAAGATTTGCGGTTGAAGGCTCAGGATGAAGCATTGAGCGTTTTTCAGGGAGCGGGGCTTATAGAGCTCAGGGTTTGCGTGCTTTGAGATTGGAGGCCTTGTGGGCTTATAAGGTTTGGGCGCTTTTAAGCTTGGCCCTGAGCTTCGGGGGAGGATTTGGGTCAGTTCTGTTTGGCGTCCAATGCAAGCATCAAATCTAGAGTTGCTTTTTCCGCTTACGTTGTCAGAGTGTGAGGTAGGAAGTTTGGGGTGGAGCTCAGAGTGCAGTTGTTTCAGGCTTAGGGCTTGTATAGGTTTCGGGGCCTACGGCAGCTGTCTAGGGCACTAGAACCGGCTTCAAGGTTTGAGCGCTGGACAGCGCTGCCAGGGCTTCGACGCTCTTTATAATCAGGCCCCGGAGTATACGACAAGCAGGTTGTGGGAACTTTCGTCTCAGATGGTCGATGAAACGTCGTATCTTAACCTGGCTCTTTTGCACGCGACCTTCCCGAAGACTTAAAATCTGAGATCGGCATGCTCAAGCAGTCCGAAGACATACCCCACAAGGCCGGAAAACCATCCGAGCCCCGTGATAACCGCGCAAGAGACTGTACCTATAGTCTCCATTGTAGTTCCTTTTTGGGGTTACCTTTTTGGATCCTTAATAAAGATTGGTTAAACCAAAAAACGAACTACAATGGAGATTCTAGGTAGGACAGTATTCCGATGCCCCAAACCCATAGCGAACAACTAGGCGGCGATAGCGATGGTTTCGCTGCCACGGATGCAGCTATCGCAGGTCTTGTAGGAGTTTCAGTATGTAGCGAACCTCTGCAATTCAGGATCCGAAAGCTACCGATCCGCAAAAAGAGAAAGCAATCCCATTTTGTTCGAAGCCCTTAACAGTAGCTTTATGAGCAGCCATCCCACACCCTATGAAACCTTGAAGTAGCTTTACAAAGCCCTATGAGCAGCAACCAAACATTTGTGGTCCTGAGCCCGAAGCCCTCGCAAAGGCTTACGGATGCCATGAAGACGCCGCTGTGTTGCATCATCCAAGAAGCACAGTTACACCTATGTAACGTAGGTCCAAGGCATAGGATTCCGGCGACATAGGCTTGCTTGAATTACAGCTCGGAGCTTAGGGAGAATAGGTTACCGGCCCATACCGGCCCTATATTACGCAAGGCTTTACATATGTACTTGGCGTCGTGGGTTTGTCAAGCAGCCATGCCCCGCACAGTTTCGACATCGCGGCGATTAGTGAAGACTGGCGTGAGGGCGGTGTCTTGAAGAAGGAGCAAGCAAGCAAGTTTGGGCGGGAGCCCTCATGTCACTAATTTCTGCAGCAAAACACGTCCTGGCAGCCCTTTCGTGCCACTGGACCCCAAGCACCCCAATCCGAAGAGTTGGAGATCTCATTGGCAGAGCTACATGCGGTCTAGGAGTCTAGGCAACAGGTGAACCTCGTAGCACGTCAGGGCAGATCACCCAACCTAAATACCAAAGCTGAGACAGCAGATTCGCCACACAATGCTTTGGGTTTAGGTCCTGCGGCTAAGGAGTCTTGAGCCCAGAGCAACCGCAACGAAGACTCCAAACATAAAGCATACATGACCCTAGGTCCGCTATTCAGTCGAAAGCATATAGCCAGATATCTTGCAATAAGTTAAGCAGTCAAGCCCTACCCCTAAGCCTAAACCCGTAACTCGCTGCACATATTCCACAGTCTGCCAGTCACCGAGAAGCTCATGCTTCGCACGAAGGCAGGGCAGTCCGATGATGATCGAGGCCGTGAAGCAGGTCAAGGACGATTTCACAGCTCGGTTTTAGGATGTTTTAGGTTTATGGTTTCCGGAAGCCCGGATGCAAGAAAATAGGTTTATGGTTTAGGGCTCAGGCGACAAGTTTTTTGGATGATCATTTGATACTGACGGCCTCGAGACATTTGTACTGATCGCTTCAAGCACGAAATGGTGTAGACTCTGTTCAAGGTTTCGGGTCCTTGGATTTGGGCCTTCGAGTGAACTCTGCAAACTGTACTGAATACATCTGCAATTTTAGGGTTTAGGGTCTTAGGGTTTAGGGTGCAGCCCAACCTCCGACTCCGACACCCGGAAGCCCAAGCATGACCTGCAACCAGGACAATGTCAGCGAGGAGTTCTTGTCTCTGAAATCCAACGTGAAGTGCCAGGCGTTTCTTTGCACTCTTGTTGAATCTTCGGCTCAGGGGGGTGTTGAGACGGGTCTCAGGGGTGAGCAACCCATGCGTGCGGGCATAAACATGCAAGGGGCACTCTGCTGCACCGGGCTATGAAAGCCCGACGAACCTGCCCAAGCAGCTCAGACGATGCGGAGGAAGACGAGACGGAGTGGGGAGGTTCAAAGACACCCCTCTAACCACCGATAGTACGGAGACGGAGACTATACATCACATCCTGCTTAGTTTTGCACACCTGAAAGCTAAGGGATAACCTTGCAAACCCGAAGCCCCGAAACCACGAATTGCTTCCCTGAAACCTAAACCATGAATTAGTGTTTTTAGGGCTCCAAAAAACAGGCAAAACGAACCCTGAAACCTTCCAAAAGGCCGTGGCCACCCCGCTGCTTGTGCGGCTGGGTCTTGGGGGCCCTGCGGACTTGCCCGACCTCCTCGGTGAGGCGCATTTACAGTATGTTGGGTAGGGTTCAGTCAGGGTTTAGAGTTAGAGCCTTGGGTGTAGGGTTTTGGTTGGGAGGGTTTGGTTTCATTTTGCTTGGTGTGTGGGGCCGGTGGGGGCGCGGAGGGGGGTCAAGTTTTGGAGATCGAGGGTTTAGGATTTCGGATTTGTTACGTTTAGGGCTATGGCCTCCGGGCTGAGAGCTTTCGGATTCTCGGTGTGTATAGAGTTTAGATGTCGGATGTTGCTACTGTGTTGGGGTTTCGGGTTCGGGGTTGTCAGCGACAAGGATTTCCCGAGGCTCCGGAAACGTAACCTTGAAACTAACGAATGAATGTTCACATGCAGCAGAGGCGGGCGCATGTTTCTGACATGTGGGTGCCCATAGCCCGTTGACCGCCACAGGGCCGATATCAGCTACTCTTCTGAACTAAGGCGAAATACCAAGTTGAACGGGTCGCTGTAATACTAAACCCTTAAACCCTAAACCCTAAAACCCTAAATACTGTAATGGCCGTTTTGTTGCAGACTTTCCGGAGGCCCCAAGCAGTGCCGGAGGTGCTGCAACTGGCGCTGGGGCCTCACATCGATCTATATTTCGAGGTTAGGTAATGAAAAGTATATTGCCCCTTAGGGTGTATCTGAATACAATACGAATCTAGTGTACAATGCCATAAAATCTATTCTAAAGGTTTAGAGCTTGGGGTAGACGTAGAGTGCTTGTGTTCTTCAGGTGGAGCCTCGAAAAGTCAAAGGCTTTTACTGTAAAGAGCATGTTGGGAGCAAAGTGCACTGCGCTTGACTTCTGTGATCGGTAGGTCTGTGCATAAATGGGAGTTTCCTCAAATGGGGGACCCTAGGATAGTACCCTAAATAGTAGGATCCCTATTATAAGGACTCCAAAATAAGGTACCCCTAATTTTCGGAAACTCCCAAATGGGTGGGTCTATTGCATGCGGAATGAGAACACAGCTTGTAGTTCGAATGCTCTTGCCACATGTCTTCACGGTCTCGGCATGGAGGCTTGCCTAAGCAGGTGTGGATGGGGTGACATGCTTCTGGAGCTTCGGCTTCTTGAAACCCAATCCGCCTTCGCCCTGACATCTCAACCTCATGGCCGTAGACGAAGAAGAAAACACATTCGGCTGCAAAGCTTCCAGCCTGAGAATCGATGATTCCTCACTTCTTTCTATGCCCAGAAGCCCCATACCATGACCCGACCCGTGAGCCCTTGCCAATTGCACCCTAAACACATAAATCTTAAAGAGTTCTCTACCGCAAGAAAGCCCCTATGCCTATAAATCTTTCCGCTGTTCCTGAAGCCCCTGGCCCTAAACCCTACGCCCATCAAATTCCGAGACAGCTACACCCTAAGCGAGGCAGAAAACCCTAAACAACAAACCAAATCTGTCATGAACCTCCACCCTAATCCCCGTAGGTCGACCTTCTCGGCATCTTGGCCCAAATGCTTCGGGGTGAGAGTTCTCAGCTCCCTGAGCTTTCGAACGGCAAGCCCACACCCACACCATTGGGTTCAGGATTTCGGGTTCAATCCTTTTAGGCCAGGGTGTCGGGTCTCCCGGATTTCGTAACAGAGACTCAGTTTAGAGTTTAGGACTTTGGGTTTAAGGTTTGGCACTAGATCATGGCCGTACTTGGACCGTCATTAATAACACGATAGAATGTCGTTGCCGAGTGTGAGCACCAAAGAAACCAGAGGTGTTCATTTAGTGCCTGGGTTTTCTGAACTTCAACTATTTCGATCGCTGCGATGGTGTTGGTTAAAGGTGTATGGGTTTAGGCGAAGGGTCGGTCGAGGGCGCAACCATGGTTAGAGAGTGAGGTGCAGATTTCAGCGCTTTGAGGCTAGAGCGCTCCGAGGCTTCTGGCGCTTGTCCGGGTTGATGCCAAGACAGTTCCGGGTCGCTCGTTGAGGTTGTTAAGTGGGTCGCAAATTGGGAAGCAATAGTATGCCCTTATCGTCGGTTTGCTGACATGCAGTAGTCATGTTAGCTGCCGATTCCCAGCTGATGATGGAATAGAGCCTGAGTTCAAAAATGCCCTTACCGTCCCCATTGCAACTTTTGCAGAACATGGCCAGAAAGCTACCTTTCAGTGGTAGAGACCCCCCCATATTCGGCCCTTAACCTCAGACCGACTGAAACCCTACCTGAACCCCAAACCCCAGGGCCTCGCCTCTTGTTGTGGGCCGGCTTGCCAGGGTTTAGGATTTAGAAAATAGGGGACCCTAATATAGTACCCTAAGTAGTAGGATCCTTATAATAAGGACCCCAAAATAAGGTACCCCCAATGTTCGTAACCTCCCATTTAGGGTTTCGCAAGTTTGAGAAAGAATGTTTGGGGGCTTGGAATTCGGCTAGGGTTTAGGGTTTAGGGGGTCGAGGTTTGGGGTTCGGGGGTTGGGTGGCCATGGTAATGGTAGCGGTGTAACTTTAATGTTTAGGCAATCGGTTTTTGGTTATAGCTTAAGTTGGAGTTTGAGGAATGCAAAGGTCACCGTGGTAGATGTGATGTGAGGGAGGGTGATGTGTAAAGGCAAAAAGACACACAGCTCTCTGATCCTAACACCTTCGCACCACTGAAAACCCTATGCTCTGAACCCCAAAACCTGACGGAGTGTCGAAATCCTGAAGTTGGCTCCTGCTTAGGAGTTGATGCTCCGGTTGCGGCCAAGACCGAGAACCTCCTGGACTTCTGAGGAGACTCGTAGGCTGCCTGGGCCCTGCTGCTCAGGTCGTGTTTTTTGCTCATACAAGGGGAGGGTGGCTACCCGCATCCTTGGAACCCTAAGCCCTATAAACCCTAAACCCCCAGCTTGCTCCCGGGGGGAAGTCCCGTCTCAACAATCTGTGAAGCCATCATCTGCCTGCCGGACGTGCGATGAAAGTCAGTCTGGACCGTTTCGGAGGCGACGGCGCTGTGCGAAATGTCGTGCATCATCGCCGCCGCGACTTCCCAACCTCTCTTGCATCCAGCGGGAATGATGCTAAACTCATTCCAACGTTTCCCACCTGCCCTTGATGCTTCCCACTCCGACTGGAATGCTTCGACAGAGAGCCTTGACAATTCCTCTAACAGGAATTGGATGCAGTAGGCTCCTGTCTGTTAGCTCAAGGCTTATCACCATGGCCTGTGCATGATCGCCGAAACTTGAGTTGACTAGGTAGAATTTACCTTACTGGGGTGCGCGGGCTTTATTTGGAGAGTGTTGTCGCAGCAATTAAGCTCCAGCCCAAGCTTTGACTTTCCTACTGAAATCGAAACCCCTACCAATAAACATGCTGAGAGCTCTTAAACTCACCAGTACTTACGGTTCCTGACCTACACTGACCTACACTAGACCCACTCAGTACTGTTCCGTCCAGGGTAAAATACTGTCGCTGGAAAGTTCAGCAACCACGAAGCCGACATAGTCAAGACCACATTTGGAGGATCAAGTAAGCAAGGTCAGAAGTGCTTAATAGTAGTTCGTAGTCTCCTGCAAGATGCTTGCAACCCAACTTACTGGTTGTCAAGCGTCCAAGCCTTCAACCCTCGATAACACCATGCGGCACTGCACACGAGAGGCCAGCGTAGCTACTGCTGCTCCCCAGAGAATTGTGGCGTGAACACACATTGTCGCTAGTTGCAAACGTTTTCGGCCCAGGGGTCCTGAAGCCCTTGGGTCGTAGTTATGTAGCATACAGGGACCGCAGAGTAATGATTGCGAAGGTTTAAACATACCTCTACTTCGCAGCCCAAACTCTGGAGTGTTCTGCTTGAACGCATTTTTTCAAAAGCCCGGGTCCTTCAATGGACTCCCCCCTGCGCAAGGTTCTTGTATAGAGTGCGAGGCGAATCAGTGCAAGTTAAGCTAGAAATTAGGGTTGAGATTTCAGTATTCAGGGTTAGTTGTTGCAGCAGCCTGTTGTCCTAAACCCTTAGCCGTAATGGCCGTACAACACGTGTTCCGCAGCTAGAGCCAGAGATTTCTCGCCACCCGGTTCCCAGAGGCTTCAACAGGAAGATTCTTCACGATATCGTCATTCAAGTCGAGCTGCATCTATGGTTTCAGCTAGATGAGTAGGCTTCGGTATTCTCCAGCATGGCACATCCTTGGCTATGTTCTCGCCTATAAGGACCTTGACCTGTTTATGTTCCGGCGGAGGGCATCAACCTTCATGATATGTGTGTATATATAGATATACATACACATATGTGTGAGTATACGTATATACATATATGCACTGTGTGTGTATGTACGTATGTATGCATGTACGTATGTATGTATGTATGTATGTATGCATGTATGTATGTATGTATGCATGTATGTATGTATGTACGTGTGTATGTATGTATGTATGTATGTATGTTTGTATGTATGTATGTATGTATGTATGTATGTGTATATGGATGTATGTATGTATGGTATGGTTGTATGTAAGTATGTGTTACATACTTGTTGACATACATACTTACTCACATACATACAGGATGCTTGTGTGTACTGAATATGTACGTAACTGTAAACACAAAGACATCTAGGGCTTAATTTGGGGTTTGCGGTTCTTCTTCTCGAACTTTGCAGAATCAACTGGTCAAGCCCATTGCGCGGACGGGGGTCCAGCAAGGAATCTAACATCTCATCCGTGACTACCGCCATTGCAGGCTTTCAAGCTGCGAAAACGCGTAGCTGAGTGAGTTCTAAACGAGGATAGGCCAATTAAGTCGTTTGGTGCCTTCTTGTCTTCAGCGCTTGAGGGTGGGGCAGAGGGGCTGTTGAAGGGCGGAAGCCCAGAGATTCTGAATTTGCGAGCGTCTCAGGCTCGCAAGCACAGTACTTTGGGGTTTAAGGTTTTGCTATAAACTATACCCCCCCGGGCGCGACTACTCACGTTGGGGTAAACCCTAAATAGACCCTCGCCCTCAAAGTCCCGGTAGGTGTCAGCCCCCGAGAACGCTTACTTTTCGCCTCTAGAGACTAACACCGAAGTTGTAGATGAGCCAAAGACAATACTAGCTCGGGCCTTGCATTCAGTTAGCCTGGGTTTGGGGATGGGGGGGTATACGGGTCGCAGCACTAAGGAACCGTGTTGGACCTGGATCTGCGCAAAGAGGAGGTCTGGCTGGCATGTTTGGTTTTCCCAAAGATCCAGCTACTACTGGGGCGCTGATGCATGTGCGCGCACTCTCCCCCCGGGAATGTCTGAAACATAAAACCCCTTATCCGGAACACCTGCAGCAGCCTACTTTTCTGAGGATGCAAGCAGCGCTTGGGTGAAGGAGTTGGGATAGTTACGTGGGTCTGTGGATTTCGGCAAGAGCACGTTATTACAAGTATCCGAGTTGGACCGTACGTTCTTTTGGGTTTGGGAGCCCTGGCTAAGGTGCCAAGTTCTGAAACCAAGCATGAGCTCAGTTCCTCATGCAGTGAGTTGTGCATTGATTGCACGGCTAGGCTAAGTAAGACTGCTCCTGATTGCATCACGCAGCCCTAAGCTCTAAACTGTCGGCACATGTATCGGTTCTCTACTGCTGCGAAGTTAAAGTTCACTTGCTCGTAGCCCGGGCCACTGCGAGAGGACCTGAGACATCAAGCGCCCTACAGTAAACTGTCGAACCCTGGTCGAGGGTTTAGGGTTTGAGGGTTCCGGGCTCGGGAGGCCTGCAAAAAAGGGTTTTCGGGTTTGGAGTTCAGGTAGAAACTACGTGTGACTACTACAGAAACCAAATGAAGAAGCCCGTAATCTGGATCTTCCTCGCCAGGGAACCGTCAACAAGGCTTCTTTGTCAGTGCTGCATAGCCGACGACAACCCAGATCCGGAAAGTCAAAGCACCAATCCTGGATCCCCTGACTCCAAAACCCTGAAGCCTCGAACACATGTCCCCGAAGATAGTTTTGAGTGGAAGCCTTGCCTGCCTTCTGCGAGCACGAGAGTCGAAAGCCCCACATCGCCCCTTCCCCGCCTCCACTGTGCATCGGCATGGCCCACTTTCCCATCTCGGTGCACAGTGGCGTCTCGATTTGAAGATAAGGTTTCTTCAGGGTTACGGGATTTGATGAAACTCATATAATATAGGGTTTTGGGATCATGTCGGGTACTTGGCAATTGGCGAGCGATAAGTTTGACGTTTCGGGTCCGTGGTTTGGGGCCGTTGACTTGTGGGGAGGTCGCTTCAGGCATCACGGTATCAATTTGCAACGAATGTTTTCTTTGGACCTCCCTGCTTTCCACGTCGCCACGGAGAAGATGTCGCATTCCCGCCTCTTCGCTTGGCTGCGTTTGACTTTCAGGTTTGATCCCAGCCCCCGTCGACACTCTCGCAACATCTCCTACCCTCCACCCCCGGCTTGGCCCGAAGCCATACACCAGAGACTCTGCACGTGATGCATATATGTATATATATATATACCCCGAAACTGAATCCTTATGATCCCTACGCAATACCTGCCATCTAGACCCTCGGGACTGCCGTGCGGGTGCCCAGAATGAGCCCTGAAGCACAAACCTCTTCCTCGGAAGGGTTTCCGAAAGAACAGGAGTGGTATTGAGGTTCTACGCGTACGGGGATTTCGCGAAGGATCTTCGCAAGTAAGCCATGTCGTTACTTCATCGTGCCTTGTATCAGAAAGGGGTTGGGGCTTTCGGATTTGGGGCTTCGGGTTGAGTTATTGTTGGTAGGGTTGGGAGTTGGGATTTCGGGTTTGGGGTCGACACTTAAGCCCACACGTGTAGGGCTTTATGGTTGGGGGGCAGGTGTAACCGGCGAAGTCTTGGCAGAGCTGAGCATCTCTGCGGGGGAGAAGCTGCAGGCACGGTGCAGTGTCCACCTTGCAGTGTTGTAGGATTTCGGTAAGTTTTCCGCACGTCCGGTTTATTATTGCTGCAGGGTTACGAATTTAAGTGTTTTTGGGGGAGTTTTGGTCGGAGTCTAAGGGCTGTGCATAAGGACGTTGGGGCGCGACATGAGTAATGGCACTGCCTCCGTCTACGACATGTCGTGCCGATAGTCAGACACCCAAGACACCACACATCTTGAAACTCTGGAGCCTACTTCGGGTCATGAGCACACTGACCCAGGAGACACAAGTCCCAGAGTGCTTTGCAACTTTGTTGGGCATGTCGGTATGCGGTGTGCCGATTTGGATTTGTTGTCGAGTCTGGCGATGTCAGGTTCATGTCACACACCCAAAAGTGCTGCATGACATACCTGGGACATTGGCTCATATCTCGATCCACACCCCCTGCCCGAAAACTTCTGAGGGTTCCACGGATCCACATAGCTAATTTGGGGCTTAGGGTTGGGGTTTCCCGCTGGGCGGAGACCTCTTCTGGGTTCAAAGATTTGTGGGTGACAGACACAGGACGTTGCCGAGAAGAAGCTTGCATCTTTGATGCCGTTCGAGCTCCTTCACAGTGGCCGGCTTGCATGCCAGGATCCTAATATAGTATTCGCTTACATCCGAAGCAAATACGTGCTGGGACAGCTCGGTGAAAACACCTTCCCTCAGATTCCAAATGCACCCAAATTTAGCACTTTCCCGGATGGGCTTTCGGCCCAACGCTTGGCCCGACTCATGGGTAGTTGGACTCCGAAGTTGGTACTAGATCCGGGACTTGAGATGCCAACAGAAGCAGTTCGGTACACTTGGAGATTGGGAACCCTGATGAAGCCATATATAGATCTTATGAGTAGCTACAAACAACCATATATGA